GGGCGGAGCAAGACATGCTGAGAGAGGTAATCCGACGGGAAAGACTCGAATTAGGCGGCGATGAGCGGGGAGAACCAGCGGGAATGCAGAGGATTTGCGTGCGAAAGGGAGATTTACAGGGGAGAAAAGGCATCGTTGATTTATAAGGTAGGGAATAAATATGCGTTTTCCTCGAAAAAGCGATGGCTCGGAATCGGACCCTTAGCAGTCAGCAGTGCTTGGATACTTTGATTTTGGGAGTTGAAATAATGAATTAGCGGGCAATTGCTTACGTTGACGCCTCGGACATTTGGCCGTTTGGCGTCATGCGCGCAGATTTTATTTCGAAATGGAAAAATAGAGGTGTAAATTGTAAACCGTAAAAGCGCTAGGGGAGTGGACGAGTAACCCCTTTTTGTTGATTGATTTCCATGGCAGATAATTGAAAAATCTATATGGCACAGCACTTTCGTGCGTGTCAATAGCCACACTAATTTGGGTTACAACCAGAACCATACTAGATGGTAAATTTTTTTTTTTTGTAACGGTAGAAAACTTGATTAATAAGTTAGTATTTGTTCGAGTATTGATCAATAAGTCGACTTGATGATTATGTGATATACTCTACCTTACTTTTCACGTAGAGAAGTATAGTCACTTGGGTCATTCGAGGGAATGCACTAGATGGTAAATATTATATTTAATAAGATGACACTTTTAATCAGAATATATTTAATTGTAGATTAAGGATGCGTTTGGTATTGCGATTGAGAGCTTTTTCATGTAATCACATAATACTTTTAGATATATATGTATTTGGTAATTTGTTTTAAATTACTTTTTTTAAAAGTTATAGAAAGTTACAATAGATCTATAGTAATTTTATGTATAAAGTTAAAAACCTCATTTTGGAGTTTTTTGACTGTAACTTTTATAGAGAATACTTAATATTTAATATAATTACAAAATTACCCATTAAAACTCAATTTCATATAATTTAATTAAATCATAATTTATAATACTTTAATAATTAAAAAATTTTAAAAACCTAAATTATTAAAAAATAATAAATATTATATATTTTAATAATTATATATCTTACA